CACGAGGTGACACACTTCATGGCCTCCCGTACCCCCTCGAAAAGTCGCCCCCCCCAGAATGCTGGTCTGGCATGGTGGTGGGGCTTGCCGCAGGCAGCTGGATGAAGCGAGATCTGGCTGTGGGCACACTGGAGCCCAGACGGCTGCGGCGGAGGAGGTGGAGAACCAGCGGCGGCAGCGGCAGCAGCAGGGAGGTGTATTCCACTCCGACGTCCCTCTCGGTTCCACCCGAGGGCGAGGGAGAGGGAGAGACATGGCAGACACAGGCCCCTTTGACATGCACGTCGTGGCGGTGGGGGGCGTGCCGAGTGCAAGCCGCCAGCGCGCAGGGCGCCAATCGGAGAGCCTATCGCGCGCGGCGTGTACGGCGCCCGGCAGGCCCCCTCCTCAGACGGTCCGCTGCTGCGCCGGCGACGCCGTGGACGGTGCTTCTGCGCGGATCATGGAGCGCCGGGGCGTGGCGCCGCCCTGCACCCGAGGCGCCTCGGCCGCCACCCTCTGGTTCCTCCGTATCAGCAACGAGTGCGACCGCTGGAGGCCGAGGACGCTGCTGTGGGTCCAGTCCAGCGGCTCTGCCTCCTCCGCGAGCTCGGCCAGGGCCTGCTCAGACACGGGCGCGGGCTCCAGCGAGTGCGACCGCTGGAGGCCGAGGGCGCTGGTGCGGGCCAGGTCCAGCTGCTCTGCCTCCTCCGCGAGCTCGGCCCCAGCCTCCGCAGACGCGGGCGCGGGCTCCAGCGAGTGCGACCGCTGGAGGCCGAGGGTGCTGGCGTGGGCCAGGTCCAGCTGGTCGTCCTCCGCCAGCCCGGTCCGCGCCTCCGCAGACACGAGTGCGGGAAGGACGATCCCGCGCAGCACCGCCAGGGTGACTGCCAAAGAAACGCGCGGGAGCTGCATGGCGACAAGCTCTCTGCGCGGGTGGGGCCTTGATCCGCCACCGTGCCCCCACGGCAAGTCGAGGCGTGGTAGAACGCCCAAGGCTGTCTGGTAGGGCGTCTACATCGTTCGCAGAAGGGCCCCCCGCTCTCGTCGCAGCACGCTGCGCGCATCGACCACCATCCCCAGGCCACGATCCCCGATAACAAACAATGAGAAATCGCGCTCCCAGGGCCACACCCCATTGTGAAGAGCTGTGGCTCCGCGCTCCTGTGATTCCAAGGCGGCCCAGGCAGGCAACCAGTGCTGACAAGATGGCCAAAGATGCGTCCAAGACGGCCTGAGATGGCCCCAGGGCGACCCAAGATGGCCTCAAGACTGCCCACGATGCCTCCAAGAGTGGCCCGAGAGGGCCACAAGAGGACCCCCAATCAGGTCCAGAGAGACCAAACTCATATATCTCCCGAGGTTGTTGAAAGATGCGGTTTCTCCATGTTCCCTGCTTCCGCCACCAGCTCAAGACAGCTCAAGAGGCCTTCAAAATGCCCCAAAACGGCCTAGTAGGGTCTCAAGACGGCCCAAGAGAGAACCCCACGACGGCGCTACCAGACGGTCAAGACGGCGCCCAGACGGCCTAACAGCGCCCCAAGACGACCCCAGAGAGTCCCAGGAAAGCTCCAAGACCGCCCCACAGGAGCCCGAGGCAACCCTAAGACTGCCCAAGCAAGTTCCATGAGCTACTCAAAACGAGAAGACGGCAGGTGTCCCATGTGACGGCCTTACTCCTCCTCGTCTTCCTCCTCCTCCTCCTCCGCCTCCTCCTCCTCCTCCTCCTTCTCCTCCTCCTCGTCTTCCTCCCCTCCTCCTCCTCCTCCTCCTCCTCCTCCTCCTCCTCTCGTCTTCCTCCTCCTCCTCCTCCCTCCTCCTCCTCCTCCTCCTCTCCTCCTCCTCCTCCTCCTCCCCTCCTCCTCCTCTCCTCCTTCCTCCCTCCATCTCCTCCTCCCCTCATCCTCTCATCTCCCTTCCTCCCCTCCTGCTCAACCTCCTCCTCCTCCTCCTCCACCTCCTCCTCGGCATCATCATCCTCATCACCGTCATCCTCATCCATGCTTTCCCAAACCTCGAGACAGGAAGTGGCACACGCGACGGCTTCCCGTGTCCCCTCGAACGGTCGCCACCCATAATGCTGGACTGCCTTCCTCGTCCTCATCATCCTCATCATGCTCATCTTCCTCCTCCTCCTCCTCCTCCTCCTCCTCCTCCTCATCATCATCATCATCAGCATCAGCATCATCATCATCATCATCATCATCATCATCATCATCATCATCATCATCATCAGCAGCAGCAGCAGCAGCAACAGGAGCAGCATCATCATCATCACCACCACCACCACCATCAGCAGCATCATCATCATCGTCCACATCATCGTCGTCCACCCTTGCCCGAGCCTTGGGACACGAGGTGACACACTTCATGGCCTCCCGTACCCCCTCGAACAGCCGCCCCCCCCAGAATGCTGGTCTGGCATGGCGGTGGGGCTTGCCGCAGGCAGCTGGATGAAGCGAGATCTGGCTGTGGGCACACTGGAGCCCAGACGGCTGCGGCGGAGGAGGTGGAGAAGCAGCGGCGGCAGCGGCAGCAGCAGGGAGGTGTATTTCACTCCGACGTCCCTCTCGGTTCCACCCGAGGGCGAGGGGGAGGGAGAGACATGGCAGACACATGCCTCTTTGACATGCACGTCGTGGCTGTGGGGGGCGTGCCGAGTGCAAGCCGCCAACGCGCAGGGCGCCAATCGGAGAGCCTATCGCGCGCGGCGTGTACGGCGCCCCGCAGGCCCCCTCCTCAGACGGTCCGCTGCTGCGCCGGCGACGCCGTGGATGGTGCTTCTGCGCGGATCATGGAGCGCCGGGGCGTGGCGCCGCCCTGCACCTGAGGCGCCTCGGCCGCCACCCTCTGGTTCCTCCGTATCAGCAACGAGTGCGACCGCTGGAGGCCGAGGACACTGCTGTGGGTCCAGTCCAGCGGCTCTGCCTCCTCCGCGAGCTCGGCCAGGGCCTGCTCAGATACGGGCGCGGGCTCCAGCGAGTGCGACCGCTGGAGGCCGAGGGCGCTGGTGCGGGCCAGGTCCAGCTGCTCTGCCTCCTCCGCGAGCTCGGCCCCAGCCTCCGCAGACGCGGGCGCGGGCTCCAGCGAGTGCAACCGCTGGAGGCCGAGGGCGCTGGCATGGGCCAGGTCCAGCTGGTCGTCCTCCACCAGCTCGGTCCGCGCCTCCGCAGACACGGGTGCGGGAAGGACGATCCCGCGCAGCACCGCCAGGGTGACTGCCAAAGAAACGCGCGGGAGCTGCATGGCGACAAGCTCTCTGCGCGGGTGGGGCCTTGATCCGCCACCGTGCCCCCACGGCAAGTCGAGGCGTGGTAGAACGCCCAAGGCTGTCTTGTAGGGCGTCTGCATCGTTCGCAGAAGGACCCCCCGCTCTCGTCGCAGCACGCTGCGCGCATCGACTACGCTCCCTGATAACAAACAATGAGAAATCGCGCTCCCGGGGCCACACCCCATCGCAACGAGCTATGGCTCCGCGCTCCCGTGATTCCAAGACGGCCCAGGCAGGCAACCAGACACAGTGCTGACAACATGGCCAAAGATGCGTACAAGACAGCCTGAGATGGCCCCAGGGCGACCCAATATGGCCTCAAGACTGCCCAAGATGCCTCCAAGAGGGGCCCGAGAGGGCCGCAAGAGGACCCCCAATCAGGTCCAGAGAGGCCAAGATCATATATCTCCCGTGGTTGTTGAAAGATGCGGTTTCTCCATGTTGCTTGCTTCCGCCACCAGCTCAAGACAGCTCAAGAGGCCTTCAAAATGCCCCCCAAACGGCCCAGTAGGGTCTCAAGACGGCCCAAGAGAGAACCCCATGATGGCCCAAGAGGACCCCTGGAGAGACTCAAGACGGCCCGAGAGGGCCCTTGGAGAAGCAACGACGACCTTAGAAAGCCCCTCGACGGCCCCACGACGGCGCTACCAGACGGTCAAGACGGCGCCCAGACGGCCTAACAGCGCCCCAAAACGACCCCAGAGGGTCCCAAGAAAGCTCCAAGACCGCCCGACAGGAGCCCAAGGCAGCCCTGAGACTGCCCAAACAAGTTCCATGAGCTACTCCAAACGTGAAGACGACAGGTGTCCCATGTGACGGCCTTACTCCTCCTCCTGCTCCTCCTGCTCCTCCTCCTCCTCCTCCTCCTCCTCTTCCCTCCTCCTTCTTCTCCTCCTCCTCCTCCTCCTCCTCCTCCTCCTCCTCCTCCTCCTCCTCCCCTTCCTCCTCCTCCTCCTCCTCCTCCTCCTCCTCCTCCTCCTCCTCCTCCTCCTCCTCGGCATCATCATCCTCATCACCGTCATCATCATCCATGCTTTCCCAAGCCTGGGGCCAGTCACGGCTTCCCGTGCCCCCTCGAACAGTCGCCACCCATAATGCTGGACTGCCTTCCTCGTCCTCCTCCTCATCATCATCATGCTCATCTTCCTCATCATCATCATCATCATCATCATCATCATCATCATCATCATCATCATCATCATCATCATCATCATCATCATCATCATCATCATCCTCATCGTCCACATCATCCTCGTCCACCCTTGCCCGAGCGTTGGGACACGAGGTGACACACTTCATGGCCTCCCGTACCCCCTCGAAAAGTCGCCCCCCCCAGAATGCTGGTCTGGCATGGTGGTGGGGCTTGCCGCAGGCAGCTGGATGAAGCGAGATCTGGCTGTGGGCACACTGGAGCCCAGACGGCTGCGGCGGAGGAGGTGGAGAACCAGCGGCGGCAGCGGCAGCAGCAGGGAGGTGTATTCCACTCCGACGTCCCTCTCGGTTCCACCCGAGGGCGAGGGAGAGGGAGACACATGGCAGACACAGGCCCCTTTGACATGCACGTCGTGGCGGTGGGGGGCGTGCCGAGTGCAAGCCGCCAGCGCGCAGGGCGCCAATCGGAGAGCCTATCGCGCGCGGCGTGTACGGCGCCCCGCAGGCCCCCTCCTCAGACGGTCCGCTGCTGCGCCGGCGACGCCGTGGACGGTGCTTCTGCGCGGATCATGGAGCGCCGGGGCGTGGCGCCGCCCTGCACCCGAGGCGCCTCGGCCGCCACCCTCTGGTTCCTCCGTATCAGCAGCGAGTGCGACCGCTGGAGGCCGAGGACGCTGCTGTGGGTCCAGTCCAGCGGCTCTGCCTCCTCCGCGAGCTCGGCCAGGGCCTGCTCAGACACGGGCGCGGGCTCCAGCGAGTGCGACCGCTGGAGGCCGAGGGCGCTGGTGCGGGCCAGGTCCAGCTGCTCTGCCTCCTCCGCGAGCTCGGCCCCGGCCTCCGCAGACGCGGGCGCGGGCTCCAGCGAGTGCGACCGCTGGAGGCCGAGGGCGCTGGCGTGGGCCAGGTCCAGCTGGTCGTCCTCCGCCAGCCTGGTCCGCGCCTCCGCAGACACGGGTGCGGGAAGGACGATCCCGCGCAGCACCGCCACGGTGACTGCCAAAGAAACGCGCGGGAGCTGCATGGCGACAAACTCTCTGCGCGGGTGGGGCCTTGATGAAACGAGATCTGGCTGCGGGCGCACTGGAACCCAGACGGCTGCGGCGAAGGAGGTGGAGAAGCAGCGGCGGCAACGGGTCTGTGAAGCACTCTGACAGCATTGAATGTGCCATATCTATCCATCACATGGGAAGATGGACCTCCCGATTCCTGTTTTGCAATCGAGGTTGCGATGGCTGTTGGCTCACGGGCCAGAAATGGCCACGCAGCCCTACAATGTTAGCCAGCGTGGACCCCAAACAGAGCGCTGTAGCGCACTATTCCATACAATATACGCGGTGCAAAATATGTGGTACAACAATCAATGTGACCAGCGTACGTGGCTCAATCTATACGGTGCAATTAACTTTGTTCGCAGTGAGTTGTCAACTCCACTGCCCGCGCAATCTTCCCACCCACCCATCCACAATTTGGTTTGCAAAATCCGTGCGGCGGCAATTGCGATGACTGCTTGGCGCTGGCTGGAGATTCGCTGCGACCGCGCTAGCGTGCGCAGGCTCGCGCGCAGAGCGGCCAGTTAGTCTGACGCGACCGACGCGGCCGCGGTGGCGCTGACCGCCAGGCACTTCCCAACGCGTCTCGCAGGCCGCGCTGACGCGCCTACGCTTAAACGCGAGCCAATGACTCTGGCGGGCGCGGTATCATGGCGACGTCGGCAAATGCAGACACGATGATGATAGTAGCCTTGCTGGCGACGATGATGACGATTACGACGCGACGGTATGGTAAATGACGGAGCAAATGCTGATCAAGCCGATGACGATGATGGTGTCCACGCAGATCTGGTTTGGAAAAACTTGTGCGAAACCATTGGGTGTCATATATTGTCGGGGACCTCGATCTTGAAATCCTTAGAAACCTCAGATGTTCGAAATATTCCGGCATGCGCGCGCGTCGCCGCGCGCGTGTGGAGTTTGTCTCGTGCTTTACGGGGTTCATGCCTCCGGCAAGTGCGCACGGGCGTTCGAATGATTTCGACAAGCGTGCGCAAGAAGACCGCTTGATCGAATGTGATGAATATGTTGATGAACCTGTGTCTTTACGAATCCGCACGAGCGCGCGGTGACCTGTTCTGAAAAACCGTGCCGCCAAACCATCGATGTAGCACATGTTTTCGAGCCCTCGATCTTGAAATGCTTTCGAAATCTCTGGTTCGTGAAGTATTGCGGCATGCGCGTGCGACGCCGGACGCGCGTGAACTTTGTTTTGTTTTTCTTTGGGGCGGGGATCATTTGGAAACGATTGGCTTGTGATGAACGAGCGTTCGCGCATAGCGCGTGCGTGCGCGTAGCATTATTTGTCAAGGATGCGAGAAAAGGGGGGGGGGCGACACGGACCTGCCTCGGATGGTATGCATCCGTGGCTAAGCCAAACGAGGGGGGGCATAATCAGATCCACATCTCTATATATATATGTATGTACACATCGGTGTATCCGAGGGGGGGTAAATAAACACAGGCGGTGGTGGTAGATACGCATCCTTCTACAGAGGAAAATAAGTATGGACGGTGCGATCTACGCGATGGAATATATCCGGCGCAGTCTACGTGATGCAATGTATGTGGTGCAACGTACGTGGTGCAATCTCTGTGGTGCAACGTATGTGGTGCAAGTTACGCGGTGCAATCCATTCTTATTCGCAGCGGGCTGTCAACTGCATTATTCGCGCAATCTCCCAACACACCCACCCGCAATTTGGTTTGCAAAACCCATGGGGCGGCAATTGTGGTGCCTGCTTGGCGCTGGCTGGCGCGTCGCAGCGGCCGCGCTAGCGCGCGGAGTCTCGCGCGCAGAGCGGCCAGCTAGTCTGGTGCGACCGACGCGGCCGCGGTGGTGCTGACCCCTGCGCACTTCCCAGCGCGACTCGCAAGCCGCGCTGACGCGCGGGGACTTCATTGCGAGTCGGTGAGTTGGGTGGGCGCGGTATCACGGCGACGTCGGCAAAGGGCAGACACGATGGCGACACGAGAGATAATGGTGACAACGGTGGCGAGGACGACGACAGGGCCCATGACGACGCCGACCTCGATCACGGCTATGACGATGATGGTGCCCGCGTGTCGGTGATGAAGGCTCTGGATCGATTTCGACATGCGCGCCCAGCCGCGCACAAGGGCGTTCGGATGGTTTCGACACGCGTGCGCGAAAAGGCCCGCTTGGTCGCAGTTGACGAAACTCTTGGTGAACCTATAAGTCTTTTAGCAAATCGCAGGAACGCGCGCGAAAACCTTTCGAAGACTGATGTTGCAAAACCATTGGTTTTAGATGTTTCGGGACACTCGGCTCTGAAACCCTTGCGAAATTTGAGGTGCGTGAAGGAGTTCGGCATGCGCGCGCGACGACGCGCGCGTGTACCTTTCGATGTTGTGCTGTTTGTTTTGCAAGGGGTTCTTGACATCTGATGAAATTTGATCAACGAGCGCGCGCGCATTATATATGTTGCACAGGATGGTTCGGGAAGCGATACCAGCCTGCCTGGGATGGTATGGAGCCACACTCAGAAGGAACAATGGGGCATAATCATAAGTACATTGCACATCCACAGGGCGGGGGGATAATCCCAGGGGTGGAGATCCGATGTAACTTTTTAAAAGCAAGATCTACGTGATGCGATCTAAGTGACGCAATAAAGCCAGCGCAGCCCATGTGATGCAATCTATGTGGTGCGACGTGTGTGGTGCGATCTATGCGTACAACTGCTGCACTGCAAACGATGCAATGCAGTCTATGCGGTATAACGTATATGGTACAATCTACGCTGCGCATCGAACGCGGTGAAATCTCTGCCGTCCAGCGACGCGGCGGCGACGGGGCAGCAGCGTAGCAGCCCGACCGCCACGGGCGGCGACGGGGCGGCGACGGCGGCAGCATAGCCGCCAAGCCGCCACCCAGGCCCAGACGACGGGCGGCGACGAGGTGGCGACCGCCACCCAGGCCCAGCTCCCCAGAAAACAAGTACAAGCCCCTAGATTCAGGCACTGGGGGAAAAATCGGCCGTCATGTTATCTGACTAGACGCTGGAGGTATGGGTACGCCTGCCATCCCAACTCGGATGAGCAGAACGACGACAGCGGTTGAACGAGTGGCGACCCGCAGCGTCCCCCCCACTGCTTGCCAAACATCCACAGTAAACTGCGAACGTGCTCCTCTAGTGGCACTCTCCCCAAAGCCCTAAGAAAGTAGAGTGGAAGGGCCGGAAGGAGAAGGAAATGAGCCCAGCGCAAGAGGAGAAGGGAAGGAGGAGGAGGGGGAGCGATGCGAGAGGAGAGCAGTGGAGGAGGGGAGGGGAGGGAGGTTGAGCAATGGTTCGTCCTCCCTCATTTTCCTCCTCACTTGTTTCCCTTTTCCTTCCTACTCCTCCTGCCCTCCTCCTCCTCCTCCTCCAACTCCCCCTCCTCCCTACCCCTGACCACTTTATCCTGAAGCTGGAAATCGACAACAGTTCTACGGGTGGTGTGGGTCGCTTTCAAATGACGGTCTCGCCTTAGCGCCTAGCTCCACGCACGTTCATCATACAAGTTCGCACCAACTTCAAGGATGGAGCACAGGCCGTTTTCAAAACAAAGTTCTCGCCTTAGTGCTGCACACATTCGTCTTGAAAACTAGCATTTTAACGGTTCAAGGAAGGAGCACTGGTCGCTTTCAACATGTGGCTCGCGCCTTAGCGCCGCGCACATTGTGTTGAAAGTTTACACAGCTGCACGGACAGGTGGCAAGTCTGTTTCAAAGCGCGGACCTGGACTCGTCTCACAAAGTGCAACGGTTGCAGGAATGGAGGACGGCTCCTCTTTCAAATGGTGCTCTCGCTTGGGACTTCCTTAAGTTTCGATATCACAAACTTGAACATGTGTAACAGCTGCATGGATGGCTGCTCTTTTAAAGGAAGCGGTCGTTTGAGACTCCCTCGAAACTTATGACCGAAAGTGCAAACGTACGCAGCAAATACACACAGCGAGGCGTGAGTTGCTCAAAACGGGGATCTCGCAGGACACCTCGTTCAGGGCTCGAGCTAAGCAGTGTGTTTCGTGTTCGTTCTGCTTTCGTGTTCCTCCTGTCTGCACTCGTTCTGCCTTTGCTGCGGAACGACTTCGAAACGACAGTGGGCCACGAAATCGCAAAACAAAAACGTGCAGCTCGAGCCCTGACCTCGTCAAGCTGTACGATCGCACATGTCTCCACACTCCCGACGGTGCGCGAGAAGGGTGCAGAGCAGCTCCTCTCTCAAAAAACGCCGCTCTCGCCTGCGTCGCGAGCCAGTGGGGGGTGCTCGTCTCTCGGGGGGGGAGGAGGGGTACCTCTTGCGCTGGACGGGGGAGCATGCAGGGACTTGCCAGGAGGGGCCGTTAGGATGGGAGGGTCCTTACTGGACTCACTATAGTCCTCCTCCTCCTCCTCCTCCTCCTCCTCCTCCTTCCCCTCTTCCTCCTCCTCCTTCCTCCTCCTCCTCCTTCCTCCTCCTTCTCCTTCTCCTCCTCCTCTCCTGCACCCACAATCTCAGGGCCAGGAGCGACGCCGGTGAGTGCCACTGGCAAGCCACGCTCTGCTGTTGCAGCTCATCCCTCAAGACATCGAACTATTGGCTCGCAAGTGCTCTTGCCTTCTCTTGTCCTCACCCTCCCTCATCCTCATCCTCCCCTCCTCCTCGTC